TGCTTATCACACACATACACACACACATACATACGCACACGTACATACATACATATATAAAGAGAGAAGGTGAGCCAGAGAGAGAGAGAGAGAGAGAGAGAGAGAGAGAGAGAGAGAGAGAGAGCATGCACATTTATCTTATAGTATTATGTCGTAAACAGCAAAGGGAAAGTGTGAGTGGGAGGAAACTTAAATTATCTCGGATTTTTTCGTGTAAAGTCGGCAATTTCCGGTTGTATTGAGGGCGAGGATAGGAATGCTGTTCGAATAAATAGTTTTTCCTGCTGAAACTATTTAAAATAAAATGTTACAGAAATGGCAAAAAGAAAGAACGGTAAGAATAAAAATGGAGGAGAACATTGACTGCGAAAAGGAAATTAAAATAATGAAAATGGGAAAAACCCAATTGAATTAAACACTCGGAAGAAAGCAAAAAAAAAAAAAAAAAAAAAAAAAAAAAACAAAAGCGAACATAAAAAGACAGTTGAGACTGAGACAGTACAATTGAAAAAGAAGAAGGGGAGGAGGAATACGAGGAGGAGAAGGTGAAAGAGGGTGAGAAGGAAGAGGAGGAGTAGGAAGAGGAGGGGGAGAAAGGGAAAAAGGGTGAGAAAAAGAAGAAGGAGGAGGAGATGGGGAAAAGGATGGAAGAAGAAGAAGAAGAAGAAGAAGAAGAAGAAGGAGGAAGAGGAGGAGGAAGAGGAGGAGGAGGAAGAGGAGGAGGAGGAGAAGAAAATGAAAAAGGGTGAGAAGAAAGAGGAGGAGTAGGAAGAGGAGGGGGAGAAGGTGAAAAAGGGCGAGAAAAAGGAGAAGGAGGAGTAGGAAGAGGAGGAGAAAATGGGGAAGAAGAAGAAGAAGAAGAAGAAGAAGAAGAAGGAGGAGGAGGAATAGGAGAAGGAGGAGGTGAAAGGAGGAGGAGAGAAAATGAAAAAGAGGAGGAAAGAGGAGGAAGAGAGGGGGGGGATAAGGTGAAAAAGGGAGAAAAAGGAGAAGGAGGAGGAAAGAGGAGGAGAAAAAAAAGGAAGAAGAAGAAGAAGAAGAAGAAGAAGAAGAAGAAGAAGAAGAAGATAACCTCGGCGAAGAAAAAGCAGAAATACAAACCAAAGAGAATAAAAGAAAGGAAAAGAAGCAAATAACAGACGAGAAAAGGAAAAACAAGAGCGGAAATGAACACATAAAAGTAGAGGAAAAATCATAGAACAATGGCGAATTGTTAAACAAGAAAAAAAAAACAGCAAAGAAAATGAAGAATGCAGTAAATCAGAAGAAAAAAAAAACGAAGAGAAGAACGATAAGAAAATGGAACAGAATCAAAAGAACGGTGAAAAAACGAGTGAGAAGAGAGAATGGCACCGAGAAAATGAGAATGAGTAACAATAAAGATTGAGAAAAGTATTAGAAAAAGAATATGACGAGATTGAGGAAAAGAATGAGAAAGAATGAGAATGGCGAAGAGAATGAGAAAACACAAATTAATAAAAACGGAAACATGGCAAATTAGAAAATTAAAAAGAAGGAACGAAAAAATACGAAGAAAATAAAAGAAAAAAGGACATGAAAATGAAGAAGAAAAATCAAAAAGAAAGACATGAAAAAGAAAGACATGAAAAAGAAAGACATTTAAAGGAAGGAGAAAAATAAAAAAGGACATAAAAATGAAGAATAAAAATCAAAAAGAAAGACATGAAAAAGGAGGAAAATAAAAAGAAAGACATGAAAGTGAAGAATAAAAATGAAAAAGAAGGACATGAAAATGAAGAAGAAAAATAAAAAAGGACATAAAAATGAAGAAGAAAAGAAAACAAGGACATGAAAAAGAAGAAAAAGAAACGAAAGAAATGAAAAAGAAGAAAAAAGAAGGAAATGAAAAAGAAGAAGAAAAGAAATAAGAAGGACACGAAAAAGAAGAACAAGACAATATAAGACTTATATAACATAATAATATATAATATAATATCATATAAGACAATATTGACAATATAAGACAATATTGACACAGACGAAGAAAGAAAATGAAAGAAAAATCGTATCTACATAAGTCGAAGAAGCTGGATGAGGAGGAGTAGATGAATAAACAAAATGGAGATAAAAAAAAAAGAAGAAAAACAACCAGAAAAAATCAAATAGAAAAGATATTAAAGAGAAGGAAAAAAAGAAGAAAGAAAAAAGACGAAAAAAGAACAAAAATAATCAGAGAGAGAGAGAGAGAGAGAGAGAGAGATGGTTGGGAAAAAAGAAGGCTAAAAAAAGATAATGTGAGAGAGAAAATCGTAAGCAGTATTAGTAGAAAGGAGAATGAAACCGCGTCTTTAGCAGGAGAAGACATTTTGTAACGTGAATCAATGATGCCATCTGAAGCGGAGTTCATTCGAAAGACAAGCGAAGATTCATCCGAACTGAAGGCCTGTCATCAGCTGGTTGTGTTCAGCACGAGGGAAGAGCTGTTGTAAATTCTCTCAAGATGATGAGTTGGTGTCAAGTGGTCAAGAAATCGGACACAACTAAGCCCTTGTCAAGAACCCGCCGAGTTGTTAAGTGCAGGAGAAAAGAGGTCATTTATTACAATGAGCTTATGGCACGCTCCCTGATCTTTGGCGAATTTATCTAAAGTGACAATTCATTTACTCTCTCTCTCTCTCTCTCTCTCTCTCTCTCTCTCTCTATATATATATATATATTCATAACTATTATAATGTCAGTCTTTTGATTATCTATGTATGCATATCAATTTTTCAACTCTATATACCAACCTCAACGTTTTCATATATATCTATCTTCATACATACATGCATATATACATTGTTATCACATTATGTATTCGATCTATCTATCTATCTTCATAATTTTTTATGTCAGTCTCTTCATTATCTATGTATTTCAATTTTTTCATAACTATATATCAACCTTGATGCTTTCATATCTATCTATCTCGATTTTTTATATCTGTCTCCCTCTTTCTCCCACTCCGTCTCCCTCTTTCTCTTTGCATTTATATATATATATATAT